CGGCACGGGCGCCGGCTTGGCAGCCAGAAACACCTGACGTGCATGCTCCGTAAGCACAGTGGTGCCGCCGCTGGCTGGGAAGATGAACTGACGCAGAAAACGTGCCCGATCACGGACATCATAGTTGGTATCGTAGCGGGCCAGTGTGAACACGTACTGGCAGAGCAGCGACGTCTGGGCCGGATTGGTCAGATAGAGCTTGACGCCCAGATTGAGCACCTGCAGCTTGACAACATCCTGCTCGTCGACAAACGATTTGGCCATCTTTCGCAGCACATCTGGCGCTATAAGCGGCACCTTCTCATTGTATTCGCCAATTAGCCAAATGATTGCCGCACGCGCAGCCGCCACATTGATGTAGTCAATCAGCTTGGCCATCTGGGTGATAATCTCGTAGTGCTCGGCGGCCTTGCTCTGCAGCAGCTTCTTGATGACCACCACGCTCTCAGCCACCACGTGCTCTGTGTGAACAACAAGACATATTCGCATATATACATATAGAAATCTTTAACAAACTTCTAGAGCTTACCATCATGATTGGATAGCAGATGCACAAGACCGCTGAGGCAAGTCTCGGTGACCGCCTTGATGCTGGCTGCACAGCGACCGATGGCCTGAATGGTGGCCGCCACAAACGGACGATCGTTGCTGGAGATGTAGGTCTGGAATTCGCGCAAGATGAGAGAGATGCTCGATGCAGACGCCAGATTGGTGAGTATGTCCAGCTTGAGTAGCTTGATGTGCGTGGGATCGCTGGTGCGCACAAAGAACGACTTCAGATGCGGCTCAAAGATGATCTTGCGACGGCCCGACATCGATGCAATGCAATTGAGCACCACGCTCTGCACCTCCTTATGCGAACGCAACAGCCGTATCAGAGCCTTCGCGATTAGCTGCACCTCATTACGGGGCGCCACATGATGATACAGCTGGGCCACGGCCATCACGACGGATGCATTGCGTGACTGCAGCAGCGGCTTGGTCTGGCGCAGCAGCAGACGATGATCCAGGTCGATGTGGTAGTTGTTGCTGCTATTGTCATTGTCTTTGTCATTGTTGTTGCTGTTGTTGTTGCTCGCTTTGCTGGACTTGGCCTTGTCCTTGGCCGTGGCTGTGCCCGTGGCTGTGGCCTCGTCCTCGCTGGTAGCATCCGCATCGCTGCTGGAATTGGATGACTCATCATAGAAGCGCTCATTTGGGGGCGCATCCGCATCCAGAGCCTCATTCTGGCCCGGCTCCTCGTCCGCATTAGGATCAACGAACTGGGTGCGTGCATAGCGCGTCAGCATATTGATGATAATCACCTGGCCCCATTCATCCACATCCACCAGCAGATTGCACAGCTTGCGATAGTTCTTGTGAATGAGATCTACGCGTTCCGGGCAAACCTGTTGAATTCGAAACCAATTGAACCAAACGCAAATGTGCATCAGTCAGGAGCAATCTTACCTCATCGAAGGCCATGACGGCGGAGCCCACCACCAGCGTGGTGCGATCCGAGAGCAGCTTCTCAATGACCGTGACCAGCTCGTCCTTTTGGTCGGCATCCAACGAGTACAGCTTGGGTATGGCATGCGCTGCCGTCTTGCGCACATATGCACTCAGATCCGCGGCGCTGTCCCGGATTGCCAGCATAACAATGGGCACAATCATGCCGACTCGTATGGAAGAGAGGACGCGCAGTGCTGAGGCGCGTATTAACTGATTGGGATCCTTCAGGGCGCGCTGGAATGTTGATATGGAGAGCAGTGCCAAATCCTGCTGCTCCTCGGCATAGCGCACCAAATAGACATACACCAGTTTCTTCACCTCAATATTCTTGGAGACGACATTCTTGACGACAGCCGGAAACAGATCGCTGGCATCACGCCCGCGCGCTATCATGCCAATGATGCGCTTCATCGCCTCCAGCTTGAGGCCATCCTTATTGCTATCCAGCATCTGCTTCAGGTCATCATGCTTGCGGCCATCGCTCTGAAAGAATGCGGCACCGCTGGCCGGATCGGCGCCGAACTCTACGTCCAGCCCGATTTGGGGTCGATCGCCATAGGCGGCCACCGAAAACGGATTGCTGGCTGCGTTCTGTTGCATCTTGCGGGGGATCCCAATTCCCAATTGGAGATTCAATTCTTGCTTTTGTATTCTGTACTATTTTGTGCAGTCCGTGTGTGTGTGTGTGTGTGTGTGTGTGGGGAGGGGGCGTGCGAAAACGGTGAAAGCGTCGTCTGAAACCTGCTGATACACTGTTACACTCCACTTGGCAATGCACGGCGAATTCGTTTACATCAATTGGCAATAGTTTGTCATATCTGGCACTGGACGACACACTGGCACTGCAAAATTTGTGTTGTTACTCGATAACAAGTGTCCACGAGTACGATTACTGTATCGATAACAGTCGATTGCCTTGCTTTTCATATCTGCTTCTGTTTCCACTATAGAAACATTTAGAAAGTTTGGTATCGATTATCGAATGGACGACACGCAACAAGCAATTAATTCTTTTACAATTTTTTAAGCCACTAACAATGATACAATTATTTTAATTTGATTAAATTCGTTGTTTATAATTATCAATAATCGTAATCAAACATATGCAACATGTATCGACATAACAAATACCAATGTATCGAGTAGAAAGCTGCCAGTGGAAACACTTGTTTGGTCTGCTCCATTTATCGTCAACAAAATATCGATTATCGATGCAAGCTGAGCAGCAACAACAACAACAATAGCCGCCGTGTGGTTGTTAAAGCAGACCAGACTTAGCCAGTGCCGCTGTCACGTCAATTAATGGACAAATAATATATAAAAGAGCAGAATTTAACTCTGGCAAGTAACATGAACTTCCCGCTGTCGAATGCCAACAAGGATACGCTGCGAGCGGCCTGCAAGAAGTGCGGCTACGCAGGTCACCTGACATACCAATGCCGCAATTTTCTCAAGGTAAGCATAAGCCGCAAAGCGAAACTAAATATATATATAGAAAAAAAATCAAATAAAATCTGAGCATAACACGCACTACGCACGTCGTCCAGGTTGATCCCAACAAAGAAATACTGCTCGATGTGGAAAGCACCAGCTCGGACTCGGAGCTGGACTACTTGACACCACTAACAGAGCTGCGGGCGCAGGAGCTTAAAGGCGCCGGCGGCGCTGGGGGCGACATTGTACCAGCTGCAGCAGCGGCAAAAACAACTGCAAGCAAGCCAGATAAGAAAAGTAGCAACAAATTTAGTAGCAGCAAACGCAGCAGCAGCAGCAGCAAAACAGCCGTCACCTCGGCGACAAAGCACACAAAAACGGAGCGGCACAAGAAGCGCAAGAGAAAGAGCAAGAAGCACAAGGAGGCAAAGATAAAGGCCAGCAGCAAGGATACGGCCAAAAAGCATAAGAATAAACGCAGCAGCAAGAAATCGAAGCGTCGTCGAGCTGCCAGCACCAGCAGCAGCAGCAGCAGTTCCAGCAGTAGCTCATCCACATCATCGGACAGCGACTCGTCGAGCTCGGATTTGTCCAGCAGCGACACGGAATCGGATTCCAGTGACAACGAGGAGTCCAGCACCAGCGAGTCGGATGAGTACGGGCGCAAAAAGAAGCGTCAGGGCAAATACAAACGCAAAGCAGAGACGACAGCGCCGCGCCGCAAGAAGGCAAAGGCCAAACGCAAGCGACATCGTGTTGGCTCCGGCGGCAGCGGCAGAGGCGCAGGCAATGGACCTGGCGCCAGCAAATACCTCAGCAGCCTCAGCGATAGCAGCACCAACTAGCAACGACTACCCAAAGCACTTTATGGCATTTAGTTTGTTTAACATATTAGTTAAAATGATAACAAAGGAGAGGATGAGTTGAGAATAGAGCAACCTCTAGGCTAGTTATATACGATATAAATACATACATATATTACATCTGAAGGCAATGTGAGCACACCTGGCGGGCGGTTCAGCTAAACTGCGCTTCCTCAATTCACAGCAGACTGTCCCATCTAAGCCACACACTCGCACATACACACACCCTCACACTCACACTCACACACATTTAGACTTGTCTTAGTGTTAAGGTAACGATCCTCCTAAAAATGTTTCCATTCTTTGCAAATACAACAAATTCGAATGTACAAATTTGTTTAGTACATAAATCTACATCTATATTCTTGTTGATCTGGATGGGCTACTCTTGCGTATCGCAACCAATCGTTCCTAGAGCTTTGACAGTTGCAAGGTGAAACGCTTTAGGAGCATAAAACCAACGGACGCCCTCCATGATCTGAACGAATCGGCATGTCTTCCGGATCCACATTTCGAGCCTGCATTATATATAGTCGTACAAATAGCAGCAACAGATAATTCTACATTCATTTATACTTATCATTAAGAAATCGAAATATTTCCATTTTAGTGCAAAAAAAGACCTGTTTCTTGAATTCCACAACTTTTCTAATAAAATATGAGAGTCATGTAACTTTTGAGAAGAATGGACAGTTATAAATGAAAGATCGAACAGTAAACGCACCAGCTGGCAAGCCGAACTTAGCAGCTGTGACGTCACGCGCTTGCTATGCGAGAAGAATGGACAGTTATAAATGAAAGATCGAACAGTAAATGCACCAGCTGGCGAGCCGAACTTAGCAGCTGTGACGTCACGCGCTTGCCATGTGCGATCATCGCTTGTTTGGCGCTACCTTTTCGAGTAAGGCATGAAGCATGAATGGACTTAATCTTTGTTTGGGTTTGCGGCCAGCGCAAAGCCAACAAGAATTTTCTTTGTTGATGAACTGCATCAAAATTTATTTGCATGACGGAATGCGTTGGTCCAAAACGTTTTTTTCTATACATATGCGTCGATTACCAACTATGATAATTTAGTATCCAACTTAAGACGTAGATAACACTTAACTAAACGTGCTCTCACACACACACGCACACACACACATATATATACACATATATATATATATATATATATATATATACATATATATATGTTATATATAACACACGATAAATAGATACAAATATAATACACGAAAAGTCATTGATCAAAATAACAATGCCTAATCTTTTAGAGCGGCGAGGAGGCAGCTGTCGGAGCAGTCGATATATTAGCTGGTAAATTGCTGCCGCTGGTCGTATAATTGAGCAGAGCGGTCTGCAGGGCGGACAGGCGGCGCTCCAGTCCAGAAATCTTGGTCAAATACTGCTCACAATTGCCGCAATTGCCGGCAGCGAATGGAGGATTGGGCGCAACGTTGGCCACGGCTGTGACGGCAGCGTTGCCCTGGTTCGACATGGCCGCTAGTAGCGCTGCATTCTGCAGCTTCAGTTCATTGTTTTGGGCGAGCAGCTCCTCGCAGAGGGCACAGGTGGAGGCGCGCAGATCGGCGAGTGCCTGCTCCTTGGCCTTGAGGCTCTTCATAAGCGAACGATTCTCCTTTTTGAAGTCAAGCAGCTTTTGCTCGAGTTCAAGCAGCTCATCCTCGTTATCGGTGACGCCGCGCGTTGTGTCCATACTGTCGCTGAACTGTTGTATACTGTTATTGTTGGCCAATCGACTCATCGCCTGCAATATGGTGTCCATTTTCTTGGACTCATTTGGGTCGGCCGTGACACAGACTGAGTTGGAGTCGCCGCCGTCATTGAACGGTACATTGCTGCTGCTGGCCAGACGGCACATTGCCTGCAATATGGTGTCCATCTTCTTGTCCATGGCATGCCCAGTGGCACGCTGCTCATCGAGATAGACCTCCAGCTTGCTGGTGGGCGAGGCGGTCAATATATTCTGGGGCGTTATGGCCAGCGATACGGCACTGCTGCTGGCTGCCAGCGGCATTAACGAATTGTTGGCTGGACGCGCGCGATGTGTGGTAATGATGTCCTCGTTGGACTGTGTCGACTCGCTTTCGCTGTCGTAACTGGATGGCACTGTGGTCGTTTCAGCTGTGGATGTCACCGAGATTTGGTGACGCGGCAACGGCTGTGGCAGTGTGCTCGATGTTGGCGGCGGCGTGCTGGCATTCGCTTTGCTGGCCTGCGCCTCGGTACGCATCTCCTCGATGGGCAGACCCAGCTTGATCAGTGCATCGGTGAACTCCTCCTCATCCTTGGCCAGCTCAAAGCGCAGACTCCAGAAGCGCTGCTCATCATCGTAGAACTGCATATACGATTCACGCAGTATCACATTCGATGGACCGGCACGGGGCGACGACGACTGTGTCGATTTTGTCAGCAGCAGGGTGCTCAACAGCTGGGTGCGGCTCTTGTAGACAACCAGCTTGGCGGCGCCGGCGCCATTTCGTGACAGCGCCACGCCCACACGTCCTACATTATCACTGCCATTGTAGCCCTGCGCCACTTTAGCCACAACAGTATTCCAGCTCTCGACGGTCATCAGTTCCTGCTTATTGCGCGGCACAGAGGAATGTATTTTTGTTTTGGGCTTCAGCTGCTGCTGCTGTTGCTGCTGCTGCTGCTGCTGCTGTTGATGTTGTTGCTGCTGTTGCTGCTGCTTGTTGGTTGACTGCGGTTGATAGCGCAAGTTGCTGGTTTCGTTTTGCAGCGGCTTGTCATCGTCCTCGAAAATCTGGCGCAGGTTACGGGGGCCCTCAGTGCTGGAATTGGCCAGAATTGATGCGTTTGTTTGGCTTTATTGTGCAGCTCACCTGTGCAGTTTCTCAAAAAAGTCCTGATAGTTGTCGCGCCCAAATTCCATTTTAATTTTGCTCCTTCTCAGCTCTGCTCTATGTCGAATAGGTTTACTATTTGAAAATGTTTTGCTTCGTTTCACTGCTCAAGGGTCGGCCAGATCTGGCAGCGCCTGCTTTGTCAAACACAGCTGTTTTCAGGGCACACTGTTTTTTTTTTTTTTTTAGTATTTTGTGCATGCGGTATTTTTTGGTTGTAAATATTTGAACTTTTCAGTGTTTGAAAACGTGTGCAGAACGAAAAATACACGTAAATGCTGTTAAATTGCGTACCGTTAGTTTTAAAAGCTAAATCTAACATGCATATTAGTAAAGATGCAAATGGGTTGAACTAAAATTGTTAAACGGTAATTAAAGCCATTCTTGTTATGGTCACAAAAAGAAATTGACAAATACTTTTGACAGACCTATATATAAGTACAAAACTTAGGCGAAATTTTGTTGCTTGCAGCAGTAGAAAATACAATCGCACTTAAAATATTGAATTTGCGTTGGTTTATTTTATAACATTTATATATTTAATGATTTGTTTTAAATATAGTTCTATTTGAGCTTAAAATTATTTTGCTGTCGCACGAAACTGTCCATGATTATTTGTTTAGGGCTTAGACTTAATTATTAAGATTTGAATGGCTCGAACAATAAATGCAACATACAATTGGCGAAAACGTGCAAAAAAAAAAAACCATGGAAACTAAATATATATAAGTTTCTATCACTAAATGAGTAACAATTAACAATTATCCTAGAAAGCTTTTTCAATATATAACTTAAGCTGACTGTCATTTGATGTACGATCGGGCGATAAAATATTGTAAGCGGACACTTCACTTAAGAGACGTTGGGGCTCGCATAGAGACTCGACTGTAAATAGAGAATATGAGAGCATGCAAAGTCTTAATTTGTTTGTGTTTGTACTCAGTTTGTACTAACTCAACTCATGCGGCAATCTAATCCCTCTGGTTTTGACCGACGCGTTTCTGATTCGGCGCCGGCAGCGGCGGAAAATTTGCCGTATATAGCTTGGAATCGTCACACACTGGCGCCGTCACCTGACCCGACTGTGACGAAGATGATGACGCCGATGACAACGGCAGCGGCTGTGGCGGCAGCGGCAGCGGCGGCGGCGGTGGCGGCGGCGGCGGAGGCGGCGGTGGTGGCGGAGGCGGCGGCGGCTTTGATTGTGCCACAGCTGCAGCTAGTTCCGGCTCTTGATACTAAGAAGTGATCAGAACAGGAGGTTCAATGTCTGCCTCTGTGGGCCAAAGAGTCCAACGTACCTGCAACATGGCGACTTGCTGCCAGTTATCGATGTGTCCATTGGCCTGAAACATGTCCGAGGGCGACGGTGGCGGCGGCGGCGGCGGCGGTGGCGCCGGCATTGGCAGCGGTGCCGCCGCAAGACCCGCCGGCGGATAAAGACTGCGCCTATAGCGTCTACCCATGGGCATCTCAAAGAAACGCTCGCCGTGTATGGCATACATTTGGGCTGCGTCCAGATCCTCCTGTGACATGTTCACCGTGACCAGCTCCAGGTTGCCCATGTTGCTATTATTGCTGTTGCTGTTGCTGTTGCTGTTGCTGTTGCTGTTGCAGATGCTGGCGGTGGGGTTGTTGCTGGCGTGCAGGTGTATGTTGCCGCTGTGATAGCGCCCGTTGCAGCAGCAATGCTTGCAATATTTGCGCGCTGCATTATTGTTGTTGTTGTTGCTGTTGTTGTTGTTGTTGTTGTTGGTAAAGCTGTTGCCCTTGTAGAAGCGACCAGGATAAAAATGTGGGCGTGGCTTGGGCGGCCTGCACTGCTGCCAGTGCCACGGCGGCTGCTGCTGCTGCTGCTGTGCTTGGCTTTGATTTATATAGCTATAGCGCAGGTGGGCCTGCTGCGGCGGCAACTGTTGCTGCTGTGCATGTTGCTGCTGCACCAGCTGATACTGCACAGTGCGCGTATTGGTCCGTGCATTATAATTAACATAGCTTCTGTTGATGTAGCGTGGATTATTGCTGTTCCGCATGTAAATATTGCCATTGCTGTTGGCGGCTGTTGTTGCAGTTGCTGCTGCTGCTGCTGCCGCCGCTGCCGCCGCCGCTGCTGCTGCTGCTGCCATTTGCGGACCATACTCCGAGGGCGGCACCGATACGGGCACATAGAAGCCGCACAGACGCGACGCGGCCATCACAGCCCGACTGCGCTGATCCCAGCTGCTTTCAGGCAATTGCTGCTGCTGCTGCTGTTGCTGCTGTTGATGGAGCTGTTGCTGCTGTTGCGGCGATTGTAGCTGCGGCTCCATAACGCTCCAGATGCTGCCGCTTTGATTGTTGCCCCAGTTGGCCCAGTGGTCATTGCTGTTGATGTTCTCCCAATGGTTGTTGCGCTTCCAAATGCATTTGATGCTCTCCACAATGCTGTTCGGATTCGGATCGATGTGGGCTGCAGCTGCTGCTGCTGCTGCCGCCGCGACGCCAACACCGGCCCCGCCACCCACGCTGTTGGGCTCGTATGCATCACATTGCTGGCGCTGATGCTGCCAGGGCAGCCACATGTCGACAGAGGATGGACGCAGGCAATGGCCATTCTCGAGCTGTTGCTCCGAGTGCGGCTGCAGCTGCTCGCGATCATTCTTGGACTTGGCCTCATAGCCGATGGGCTTTAGGCAGCTGTCCGGCAGGGCAACAGCGAGATTGGGCAGACTGGCAACAGCGCCAATTGGCTCATCATTGTTGAGATAACTTATCTGATAGGGATTCGGCCAGAATTCATATGATGGTATATTGCCACCGGTGCTGGGGCTGCCCGTTATCAATGGCCCGAACGCAGTGTTCTGGAGCATGGTTAGCGTGAGGCTGGCCAGCTCCTGGTAAGGTGTATTGATGGCAAAACGTGTCAGCAGCTCGTTAACCGATAGATCCATCTGCTCTGCTTCGCCGCTTGCCTCTAAGGGCTTATCATCTGGCATGGGCTCCGGGGTAGCGTGCTCCTCTACGCTGCTGCTGCTGCTGCTGCTGCTGCTGCTGCTGCAACTGCTAGCTGACTCCGGCGGCGGTGGTGGAGGTGGAGGTGGCGGTGGCGGCGGCGGCGGAGGTGGTGGAGGTGGTGGTGGCGGCGTCTCCATGTCCACAGCTGGCTCAAGGCTACAGGCGCTGGCATACGAAACGGTTGGTGAGATTTGTGGAGTGCTCGTCGATTTCAGACGCTGTCCCTGACGCTCGCTGAGCCGATCCAGATCCATGAAGTTGCCCAGAGTCAGTGGCACATTGCGATGATAATAGCACTCTAGATCACGATCAATGGGCGGCACTGGGCAGGAGCCAAAATTCATGCGGCGATTATCTATAAAGATGGCCACAACAATTATTGTTGTTCATTATAATGCTATGTTGAATGTATTTTTCACAAAATTCAAAGCTCACTCAATAATAAAAACAACATGCGCATAAAAAAACAACAACAAAAGAGTTTATAAAAATGTTTCTTATCCGCACTCAACTGAATTAAAGCTAGACAACAACAACAAAAACAACAACAACAACAACAAAAGGAATGAGTAAAAATAATTTCTTGAAACAATTGTTTTTTTTATATAGCTCTTCGTTGTGTTTGTTTTGTAGCTTGATATTTTGGAGGTTATGCTGTTTTTCACAAAGCACGTGTTTTTTTTTTTTGTGTATTTTTAACGAATTTTTTGTGCACTATTTTCGGTATTTTTTTGTTGTCGCTGCTGTATTTTAATACAATTTTTTTTTTTAGACGGTTATTTGTTTTGTTTTGTTGATTTTTTTTTTGGCAATTTCTTTGTTTGCGGGCGGCAAGCACATAATACTGTAGTTGGCTAAAATGTAGTTGGCATATGGATGGGAGTCGACACCGGACCGGACCGGACGACGTCAAGACCGGCACAAAGCAGACACGCTCACTGTTTCCAGCTAATGCCAACAGCTGCGACATTGCGCTTCTGGTTTGGCATATCTTTTTCGCGTCGGGTCGTTTAGACGTTATACGCAAGAGAGTCGATCCACGAGCAGGGACAGAAATAGACAGACAGACAGACCGAGAGAGAGAGCGACAGAGAGAGAGCTGACTTGAGCTTGAGATCGTTACGAATCGGTTAGAGCTTTTTTTAACGGACCGAGAGAGATACGTTGCATAATATACGCAATATGTTGACTCGGTATGCGTTCGGTTTTAGTGGAGGTATGCAAAAAGAATGATTGGCTTGCGTGAAAAGGCCTTAAGCCGTCCACTTTGTTTATGCGCTGCACATTTGTTTAAAAACTCGGTTGGTATTTGTTTATGCGGCGGCGGCATATGACGCCTACGCCAGACGCCGACGTCAGCCGCAGTCGCCGCCGTTAACGCCGGTTACTCACCACATGTTGTTGCCGTCCCTTCTTGCTGCTGCTGCTGCTGCTGCTGCGGCTGTTGCTGCTGCTGCGACTTGGACTTGCAGCCACCCTTCGCAATGGCCTTGATTGGCAGCTGTGTTGACATGGACTTCTTGGCCGGTATCGGTATCTAAAATGTGGCTTAAGCTCATATGGTTTACTAAAATCCCTTGGCCGGCAAACTGACCCGCATCAATTACCTTTTTATTTGTTGATGTTAGCTCCAGTTCGTCAACTTCTTCGGCTTCACTGTCAACGTCTATGTCAACGTCTGCATCGACGCCAGTTTCGCTGTCCGTGTCGGTTTGATAATAGATTTGTCCAATACGATTGAACAATTGCACCTTCTTTCTTTTACGCTGTCGCTTGGTCAAATATTTCATTTTTCTGTCACTTCGCCACAATACGCACTCACAATTGTATTCAAATATTTTGGCCGCTGACAACGACAATATCAGTGTGGTCGACCGCACTCAAAAATGAACAGATTCCATATAGTTGCAGATGAAAAAATACCATACAGTATATTTTTGATATACTGCGCTTGAGTTAAGCTTTAAGCGCCAACTGTTAAGGTTGCCAGATCGGGTCAGCCAATACAAATTCGATGGAAACATATTCGTGGAATACAATTATTCTTAACACGCATGCAAATAACAAATATCATTCATTATATTTGCAATATGAATAAAACGGATCAACTAACCAAAGCTGGTTGTTTTGTTGTTTTTT